AACTACTGCATTTCAAATCATAGTATGAACTATATGATAAAGATTTGGGGGAATACTAGTAACTTCTAGGGTTCTAAAGGCAGAACTATCACCTCACAATTAACTCCTTTAGGAACATCTTGATGAGCAATCCCCAATTTACAGAATCAAGTTCATAATCAGTCAAGTTTAGAAATATGAAGAAATGACAAGCTAGTTAAGGTCTCTGGGTCTTAGTTCCTCATCTGTAAAATGGACACAGTGTCATTTCACAAAGGTTGACATGAGGATTAGGAGAGATTAGGGCTGTGAAGGTGCCTGGGCAGTGTCCAACACATAGATAGTGCCTGAATCAAACGAGGGCTAAATTGTAGCAGTCACCAAAAACGTAACTGGCACAGGCAACGATATCTTCATGATAAAAACTAGTCAGTCACCCGAGGGCTGTCCAAAAGACAATTTCTCTTCATATCTCTTTCTTTCTCCTCTAACCCTGTTCAAATTCATCTTCCTCCATCTGATGGCCTGGAATCAGAGCTCCAGCAGAGAAAGCTGAGGGTGTACATTGAGGAGGGGTTACACCAGGCCTTTAGAGGAGCATCAGTCCTCATAGGATGGGGCTGTGATGGGCATTTCATACGAGGAAGAGAAGGACCTTTCTACCACTTCATGTGAGAGCTTGGGAAATAAAATCATACATAACCAAAATAATCAGTGGTTTGACAGCTCTCACATCTACACAAAGAGTGGAAGATATATTTTCCCAGTGGCTGAGAAAAGGAAAAAGGAGTTTTGTGGTTGCTCCCAGTTTCTACGTAAAATATCTGTCTCATTGATTGAGTCCTACATGGATATTACGCTTTGAACTAATGGAACACATAACTTCTGATGATCACGGGGGTAATTCAAAATGTGTTCTGATGACGTATAAAACCATAACAGCACCTGATATCTTTTAAAAATAAAATATCTACTTTTCTCATCATTCTTTTCTGAAAAAATCATTCTTTTATCATTCTTGCTTATCTAATTTTCACTAGCCATTGATGAGATCACTTCAACAATAAATAACCACAGTTAGCAAACTCACAACTCTGAACAAAAAAAAAATAAGAAGACAAAATCATTTTAAAAAATAACTCTCAGACATAGGTCCTCAGGCCTGTGACGGGTGTCAATTACTCTGGACATAGGAATACTCTCAACATCAGTGGGAGAAAACAATTGAAAATATTGTAGACCTGCAGAAATTTGTTATGGAGTAAACTTTTTGAAAAACTACCATAAGAGAAGTTTAAGCATAATTATTTTCTTTCCAATACTCCATATTTTAAAAATCCCTAGACTATAAAAGCTGAATGAAATATATTTCACTTTTCAAAACATCTCTAATAATCATTTGATTATAATAATTCAATTGTTAATGATTTGTATTGATAGCCTCTTTGGAAAATGAAACATACATAACTACTTTCATTACAGTTATAAATAAATATATTATATATATAAGTATATTATTTATTATAAGTATTTATATTTATATTTATACTTTCATTATAAATAGTGGAATTTTGAGAAAGAAAAAAATATTAAAAATTCAAGAGTATGAATTTGTGCCCACAGTTAAAGGGCTCCATGAAGGGCCGGCCCGGTGGCGCACTGGAGAGTGCGCTGCTTGGCAGCGCGGTGGCGCTCCCGCCGAGGGTTTGGATCCCATATGGAGACCGGTTCCCGCTCACTGGCTGAGTGCGGTGC